TCATAACCTTCTGGTTTGGTGTAGCGTTGACCGGTGCCCTCGACCTTGTTCGTAATCGCTTTTTGAAGCTTGTACGAGAAAAGTGGATTGTCGCTGCGACCATCAAGCAAAAACGTCGGAGAAGTAAGGATTTTTGGAATTGGTTGCCGGTCGCTGGCATCAAGGAGCTCATCCCAGAATGGGAGGGTGACATCTTCACACCCCTCAATGCTTCGGAGTGCATCCTCAATGTAGAGAAGATACGCGCGATGCCAGGTAGGGAACAAAATCGTGTCGTGCCAGCAGTACCCTCCCCACCATTCTGGATCCGTCTCTCCAGGACCACGAAAAGGCAGGCCATGCATACCGGCGATATGAAAGTACGATTTGGGATGGTCAGGTGGAAGAGCCTGGATACCACGGAATGCTCTAATGAGGGTTTCAAGCTTTGATCTATCCTGACCCGACCAATACAGATGTTCGAGCTCTTGGAGGGGGAGGCGGACTCGGACTGGAGGCATGTTGTTTATTTGGGTGCCGGTGAAGGGGCTGACCGCTAAACAGGCCCCATATATGGCCCTTACGTGCTCGTCAGGGGCGAAAAGAGGACGGTGTAAATGTGCAATCGGAGTACTTAATTTTTCGCTTCAGAATTTAGATGCTACTCTCCATACCCCCTTATCGCCATTGCTGCCTGACTGGATTCACGGACAGCCAAGGGAACGCAGCCATACTATCATAAAAAATAAGGCACTGGTAAAGTGTTGATACGGATCTTTATGCCGCTGAGCGCTTCTCTTATAATCTAAGGCTGTATCACTTTGACTTTATAAATCGAATTTGAAAGAAGCGCCGAGGGGTGGCGCGCATAGAAATTATTAGTTCCATTACTAGCAGATCATAAAAAATTGAAGGGTTGAGCCTCCCCACTGGTATTTAGTGCTTTCCTTATGACCATCTGACTCTAAATCCGTAATTTGAACTTCCAAGGTATGCCGCGAAGTGGCGCATGTGGAAATTCTGTCACTTTAATAAATACAAGAGAATGACTCGACTATGTAAGTACCAGACTTGGGCTTGGGCTTCCCACATCCGTGAATGCTCCAGGAGTAAGTGGACGGAAAATTCGCCGTAGTTGGAAGATCCGAGTTTTGTTCCTGCCGCCAAGGAGCACCGCCAGTTACCTGTCGTAGTAAGTTCGGATCCAAAGTTTGCGTTCTTGTGCGACTTAAATTTTCGGCCAAATTCTGCTATGCAACGAGAGGATAATGAGGTTTACGCCTCAATCTTTATGAGGGACACGATGTATTTCTAACTACGGAGTCATGAGTTTGAAAGAGTGACAGTGATGGGGCAGACAGACATGATTATACATTTTCCTAACGGGGTGGACTGTCTGTGCTATGTATTGCCTTGATGCACCTGTCACAAGTTTCGTATCGGCTTGGGGCCAGAGGTTTGATTCTTCCATCATGTCTTGACCTTTCTAATTTTGTTTTTTGTTCGCAGTACGTACACAGATTGGGTGATGCAATGAACTTGACAGTATAGCCAATTACTTATAGATATATGTGGAGCTTGCTGGTGTCTGCAGTGGAAGGCATTGTAAACCATCGTCCTCGCGCGGATAGATTTCCTTACCAACACATGACGAATGAATGCTTGTCTTCTCTGTGTGTCCTTTGAGATATAAAATGGAGCGAGAAAATTCTAAGACGTCGTATCGCAGGGTCAAAACCCTACGCTCACCTACTATGTAGCACTCAGTTTGAAAGGGTGTCACGGTGGGGCAGGTAGCGCTCAACTCCTTATGAGCGGATTGGAGAGAAACGAGTGCATACTGTACTTTTGGTATACTTGTATCTTTAGACTATTGAGCATTGTGCTAGGGGTTTTGTGATGCGAGGAAGGGATGATCGACGTTGTAATGGGGAAGAGGAAAGGCAATCTTGGGAATTGGATGTGTTGATCGGAATCGGAGCTGTCCTTTGGTTTTTGATTCTTGAGCTAGTCCACCACGCTGACTCAGAACACACACGCGCACCTCACTCTTATCCACGGGCGACACCCTGCTGCGTCTCGTGGCAGGTAGCAGTGGATGCCTGATGTATATGGATTTGGACCGAGGTATGTGACGCCCCTCAATGCGATCGTTGCCGACATGATCTACGAGCATACCTGACACAGACGAGCGGCGTGCCTCACGCGCTGCTATGCACGTCGCTGCCTCGACGCAAACGCCTTCCGTTCCTCCGCGATACAGTCTTATCCCTTAATACTAAGCCTCACGCTGACCCATGAGACCCAATAGACCTTCAAATCTCGACCTCTCATCCTGGCTGGCGGCTACAACGGGATGAGCTTAACGCCACCTCCACACAATCTCCACATACAGCCTTCCTCTACCTCAGGGCCCGCTCGTCCAGGATATATTCGTCAGCACTCATGCCACGTCGCCCAGTTGGGCATCGCGATACCGAAAAAGCATGGCTGCGTCTATCGTTCTGACCTTGCTGGCTATGCATCGACTTTCTGACCCGATCCCAACTTGCAGATCGTTGGCTTCAATTTTCCATGACCTCAGTGGCCATCGCCAGCCCTTGAGCTCCTCACTAGAGGATAACGTAACGCATTAATGGGGTAGTGGTAACCTGGGTCGTTGCCATTCTGGTGTTCACATCTCGACCCGCCGGGGGTTCGATTCCCCCTTAATGCACTCTATTCTGCGAGACGCCTGCTTTTTGTATTTTCCAATGATTGAGTGCTGGTGTTATACGTCCGTGTCAATGCCTGTTCTGGTAAGTTGTTTGCCAACTTAGTTTTTGAGAGTATGCCCTGTGAAATTGAAATAAAATCGGTGATAATATATGACAGTCTATATTGGATTATTCTTCGACCTGTCTGGTAGTAGGAGGGAAGATCGACCACGTTGATGCCCTGGTGAAGGAAGAGGAGATAGAGGCAATTACGTTGATCAGAATCGGAGGCCTTCCCCTTGCTCTCTCCTTTGATGTCGACTCCAGCGAGATGTAAACATGTAAATAATTAGTGAGGCAACTGAATTATTCGGTCTTCTTCATCCTCCATACGGATAAGCTTGGCCCCAGCAAACGATTTCCTCCCTTTTGTGTCGCCATTGTCTTCCCTCAACTGTTGCCATCGTCCATCCTCAATACCCACTCTACATCAGCGTTACAGAGTGGTCTTGATCCCTCATCATAATTAAATCTTAAACACTGTTCTTGAGCCTTTCAACCCGTCGATGGAACGGGATGAGCTTCCTCACGCATACTCGGACTTCTCTCGACCTCCGCTCCTCTATCTTCGTTAACAATCATGCACACCGCTTAGTTGAGCGATGCCATGTAAAAAATGCGAGGGTATCACCAACGCGGTCTCTAATTTTGCCCTCGCCGGTGACCCATCGATTTCCCAAGTCTAAGTACAGCTTGCAAGCCATTCGCCTCAATTTTCGGCGTCGATCTTCATGGCCACCATTAGGAGATGAGCAACCAAGCGCAGCGTAATGTCATGCATTAATGGGGTAGTGGTAACCTGGGTCGTTGCCATTTCTAAGCTCTGTTTCCGTTTCGACCCGCCGGGGGTTCGATTCCCTCTTAATGCATACTCTGGAGTCGTCAGTTAATTTTTCCTCAGGTTGTTAGGTTTGGGTTTGTGGCCTCAGGAGTTGTTGACGATGTTCAATTCCGAGTTCTAATTCAAATGCTGAGATGTCGCAGTTTTTAGCAACGCGGAGACGCGCCTGGGCATTGGAAATTGAACATATCAGAAAAACTCGGGAGGCATGGGAGATGGCTGGAGACCCTGTTTCGGAAGAAGGTAATTACTTACATTAACACAGTATGCGATGATCGCTGTTGGATTCCTTCTCTCGATGCTCTATGTCGACGTTCTACACACCTCCGCGGTTAACCTAGATGCTGGTTCTAACCGGAGATGTCCTCTAAGTTCACGAGATTGACCTTTGCCTGAAAATACATAGTATTCTCGTGAATAACGAATAACTCGGATGCAGCCATCTTGTCGTCGTGCATTAATGGGGTAGTGGTAACCTGGGTCGTTGCCATCTCAGGCACTGAATTCTACAACTCGACCCGCCGGGGGTTCGATTCCCTCTTAATGCAATGAAAGGCGCTGTCCAGCTCTTATCACATCCTATGACACTCGACATCATCGCCGTTATGTGGAACAAGTTTTTGCACATGTGTGCTCTATCGGGCTGATCGGCTTATGTTAGACTCTCCGCTGAAACATACTTCAAGGAGTGGGGCAATTTATCCGAATCAACGGCCTCTTTCCTACCATTCACTGTTAACGATGTACAAGTCGTCAATGTTGATGATGGTGGATTATTATCGCGCGAAATGTTGAATGTGGCGTTCTGCTTGTCCAGGCTACTTCCTGCTAGAAGGATGGATGAATTCATTCCACGTGGGTCACACAGGGCTTCATGTATATGCATCGAAAGTTCACCTAATCGTTTCGGTCGCCCCTTTGATTTCCGATTTCCTAATGATGCACTTAACTCGCAGTCTGTTCTGCTTCAGATTTTTTAGTTTATCTTCAATGCGTTGCCTTTACTTTTCTAAATATAATACGCATGAGCACATGCATCACTGGATCCCAAACAAACTAGTGTTACTGAAATAGTTTGAGACGAAAGTTGAGGTACTCTCCTTGTCAAGTTACTCATCACATTTCGGCATATAATTCGCTCCTTACTCAAAACCCTTCTATATGCGCCAGGGATATATGGTTTTATTCATGCCTTTGTTGTCATGCATAGCTCACCTCGCCACTATTCTCTTTTTCAATTAATAATTAATGGCAACCTTAACATATGAAACCAATATTTAGAGGGGCTAAATAATAGTTGTTCATAGCAGGCTAAGGAGACCAGAGGCTGAATTGGAATGCAATTCATAGATAGTGTTGAAGGCGAAATCACACTCAGACTTGTCATTATTGACCAGGAGCTTTGTGAAGGCTAGAATGAAAAGGGCAATCAATATAAGTAACCATGAGATGCAGATTTACAAGGACCCACACTCGAGTGTCTACACTCCGGGTTTGTGGTAGGCCTTCTAATCAAAGTTAATATTTGGGATATCAAGACATTGGCAGTAGTCAGCGTCATCCATCTCTTCGTCACTGGCGGTCGACATCTGGAGTAAAAGAATATAAGGGAACACTAGAAAGAAACTTCTAATGCTCACTTCTGCATACACCTCTTCCTGATTTAGACAAGTCTTGTTAGCGCCAGCAGAGGATGAGCAGATTTCCGAACAGAGGCAACGAGCAAGGTTGGTGCCTGTATCCTTATCGAGCGTGACACCCAGTATCCTGTTCAAATCCAGGACAGTGACCAACTGTAAAGGTTCACTCATTTCACGGCGAAATTCAGCAGGCAACCTATTATTAGCTTCTTGTCTGGTATCCTCTGACGTGAGCAGAACTGTCAGCCTCTGAACAACCGTAATAGCAGCAGGTCGTTCGACCGGTTGTCCATTCCAGCAGTCCTCCATGCACGACCATATTTCTTCGGTCAGTCCCCACTCAGCCCACGATTGACTCGATAGAGGAGGGCGGGCGGGGCGGGCGCCAGACATGACTCGTAACATGACAGTCTGTTTCCGCTTTATGGAAGCAAAGGGAATGTCGCCTGTGAAAATCTATTTCGACTTTCAGGCTGGAAGCTGGATAGACTCGAATCACCCCCAGAACGCACCTCGAGAAAAACGCATCCCAACGCGTAGATATCGCTTGCGAAAGTGTTTTTCACCGCCTCTTCCACCACTTCATCCGCGTCATCGCTCGTTCCTACAGCGAACAGTTCAGGCGCCTGCCAACGCATGGATCCTCCCTTTGAAGCGCCCGAAGATTGGGATGTCCATGCAATAACCTGAGAGTCCGAAATGGACGAGATACCGAAGTCCGCCAAGCATGCACGGCCACTTGTATTCA